CGGTTAATACGGTAGTCCAGTCCATCAAAATAAGGCTATAATATTCTATTTAATTATATCTAAACAGATTGGTGATCTAATAATAGGTTTTGTGCCAAAAAAGCGTCTCCCACTTAGTAGTTGTGAGAACAGCTGGTGTCTCTGTGGTGTAAATATATTGCCCAAAAATATAGACGTTACAGAAACAGAAGATTTTAGTGTAACCAACAAAAGTAAGGTGCAGGTAATTGATAATTGGTCAATTAACTACAATTACCCGAATATTAGTGAATGTGGCCATGACACCAAACATTTCTTTCATGTGGATTAGGTAATTTATTTACGTCATGAAGATGTACAAGTGCTGAAATTATATCAATCCCAAAAGCTCCTTCTTAGTTTCTTAGAGCTTTTGGCAGAGATTCAGTAACTGTGCTCTGTGTATTTACATTGAATCATCATCAAATCGGCGATAGATAGTAAATTCGATCTAGCTAAAAAAACAGTTTCATTGGTACTATTTTAAACACTGAAGGCTACGTGTTTCCATTCATAAATCAGTCGATTTTACAGCTTAACGTAAAGTGAAAAAATACAAACAAACGTAATTATAACGGTACCAATAGGCTGGTGCAGTCTGCGTAAAACAAAGGCGCTGAGGCCTGAAATTGACTGATGTACCCACTGGACGGTCAGTCCTCCATGCTGCTCTTGCGCCGAATCGGTGGTGCGAAACGATTTCTACGCATTCCGCCGATAAACTGATAATTTATTCGATTAACCCCTATTTTTGCAATGCAAAAAGTTCACAAGCACTAATTTGTCACTGGTGATAACAGCACATAGTTTAAAATAATAATAAAAACAAAAACTAAAAGTTTATAAAGTTTGAAATTGAAATTTGAAAAAAGAACGCGTTCGGTATTTGAAAACGCGCGGGACGGAGCCGGTGTGCGCGGCCGCGTGTTGCGGAGACTGGCGCATACGCACTGAGGCGGCGCGCGCGCTGCGTCGACACACAACACCGACACCAGACACTGGTGGGATATTGTTTCGGTGCAAGATGATCGATGAGTTCATTTCAACCGCATTTGGTTAAAATTTGACGTAAATAGATTCTGACGGGATTGAGAAATGAGAAAATAAATCTCCGTTTCTTTCAATGGTTGTTNTTGTTCAGTTGCGAGTAGATACTTGCCTGATTTGAAATCAAGTGCAAATCAGATCTCAATTTTTTTGCTGTAGTTAGAAATTCAATTACATTTATTATTCAAATTCATAATGTTTGTTTATCTGCATACTAATCATTGCAATATTCTATTTGTTTAATAATATCATTCTAAGAACTTAGCGGCGAGTTTTCTGATTTGATACAGTTTAAAAAAATATTTTGTTTTCAATTAGCTTTGAAGTTTAAAATATCAATTTTTAATCGATTCCCATAAAATACAGGGCTATACCAACTTTCTTCAGTGCTGTAATAAAGGTCAATACACAACACAGTGATAGCAGACAACAGCACAGCACATCGGAGCGTGCAGCGACGCATCACGCAAGAAAGCGCATAATCAGCATAATGATCGCACGCTGCAACGACGTGCGCGCAATCGAGTGTCCACCTCCATCGATTAATGAATCGTAATAGACGCGCAATCGATTTGTAGTGCGTTCACCCTAATTTCACCACAAACATACCTAAGTGTTTAATATCTGATATGTCAATCTTGAGATTATGTCATTATTTAATTGTTTGACACGCCTAATTAGTTTCTGACCATTGGAATTGATCTGGATGTAATGATAACCTTAGTTTCAAAGAACTTAATGAGACTACAAAATCTAAAACCAAATCATTAGCATATCTAATACGTTTCAAACCAGTCAGCGAAAATTGACTTTTATCGACCACCAGTATAAGTTAACATTATTTGAAACTTCACTGGCGAAGGGAAAGTGATGATGATGGAAATGGAAGACAATAGAAAAATATAGCTTTATTAGTAAACCAAAACCAATCTACCACAAGCAATCGGAGAGTGGTAGTAAAGTCTGTCGCACATCGAGGTTGCCACGACAAAGTTCCGCTCTGAATGCCGGCTGACAGTAAGAGAACACGACGCTAGATTTGTTCAACAATGTTCCACATTATTGATATACGTCGTGAATCGATCGTCTGATCCGATTGCATTCGATATGAGACGAAACAGAGCATGTTTGATGAGTATGCGACACACGCAAGCTCGAAGAAGAATCTATTGACGCCGAAAATATTGAATTTTTATGATACCTTTCATTCGGCAGTTATTAGAAAAATGTCGCGTCGTGAATTGTTGAATGAAGCTGCTAATCCTTACTACAGAAAGAGCAAAGCTTTTAAACAAACATAGCCCCAAATCAATACGGCTTTGGGCAAAAGACGTGTCCATCAAAAGTGTATTTAGGGAGGGACACTAAATTCTCCAATCTATGAGGGGTGAGCATTTCGAAAAGAACATTTCGATCAGTATGAATTGTCTGAATCAATAAATCGCACGCAAGCCAAACAGGCAAAAGCAGCCATTTAGTAAAGCATTCGAGCAGACGCCTGGGGTGGCGTCTAATGGACGTGCATTACCACGATTGGTTTAATAAAGCTGGAAAGTTGCAGTAAGTATCACATTCAACCAACCACCACATATTCGTTGCAAATAAAGGACAGAGGATTATTACTTTTGAAAAAATATATTCAAACGTTTCACAATATAATTTAAGATTAAATTGCGTAGGGGAAGTTTAGGGTTCCATTCAATTATTTCTAACAGTAGATTATACAGTTTGCTTATGAAAGCAAATCTATGATTAATTTAAAATCCCGAATGGTTCATCCAAAATAATTATAATGAGGCAGGAAATTAATTTTCCGAAGAGATGAGGGCTTCGATACCATTTTAATGTTAATCTAAGCTTGACCAGCGTTAAAAGTAAAATAAGCATAAACTATTAAGAGTTCCGTGCCCGTGCAAAATACAGGTATCAAAACGGAGTTTAAAATGTGCAGACACGTTAGTCACGTCGTCTGCTGGCGAACGATTCATGGCGCCACGCTGCGACTCGAGCGAAATGCTGATGCGCACCAGAATATACGAGTGTTGCGGTGAAATTCACCGCGGAATTAACCAACAGGTTTAACACAGCGCCAAGCGAACGATTGCTGGGCAGGGCAGGGTTTCTTGGTAAAGTATTAAGGGACATGAGACAATTTATTGATGTAACGAATGGTCTAGAAGGCGATGGTCTCCAACTAGTGCAGACAAGTTAAGAAGGCTGCAAACTTGCAAGTAAATTGCAGGGAAATGCAACCATGCTAATGGACAGCCAAGCTATTACAGAGTTGGACATCTTGATAATTAAGACGGATATGGTATTCAAGCGATAAATTACATGCACATGGGAAATATGGTAAGGATTGCAAAAGGCTTATTTTCAGCCATAGAATAAATTTCATTAAAAGCCAACAGTTTTGATGAAAAGTGGGCTAGATTGTTGATGAAGAAACCATATTTCAGCTGATAACATTTTTAGCGAAGAATAAATCTGGAATTTTGTTGGGGAGCGCGTGTCAGTGGCAAGATCCACCCCATTTCCCAAATAACCTATCTCGGTTCCATTTTCGGAGTGATGCAATTTCAGGAAGCAAAAATGTTTACCAGATAAACATGTTGGCAGAAACGACAAGTGCCATCGTCGGAAATGAAGCAACTTTGAGTAAAATGTAGTTGGATAAGGCTTTTATAAAATTGTAGGTACTATGTAAACTGAAATAAGAATGGTAAAATGCAGACTGTAAAAACTAACAAGTCTATTTTAAAAAAGAAAATTTACAATTTTTTTGTAAAATACCCAAGTAGCAACGTAATATTTGAGGTTGTCAAATTTCAAATAGGTATAGGAATATGATACTGCCAAAAGTTATTCAAAGAAATGTAGTAAGTGCAGTTCACGAGTATTTAGACTAAAATGTTGATTGTTTTATTAATAACAATAACACTAAATTGTCACTAGTGTGATAAAGAATAGTACATTTGATATTTTCTTTCCGCAGAGGAAGGAAAGTGTCAGTGTTTATTAATATGTTTTGACAGTAAGCAATCCGGAAAATACGCCGGGATATATTTTACAAACAAAACATTATCTTCGAAGCGAGGTTTACACATTGATAAGCTCAATCACACAGTGATAAATCAAAGTAGAGATAAAAAAATAGTATCGCGTTCAACTTAACATTGCCTTCGGTCATCAAGTCATTGTTGCTTGAATGTAAAATAACCCGTAACAGCTGACAATCTGGCGAGAAGCCAGGGTCGAGCCACCGTGCCACTGGCAGACTTGCGCATTGCGACTGTAAACATGGCGGTATTGACAACCCGCCTCCACAGGCTGCACGGCAGGAGGAATGCAGATGAAGATCACGAACACACTAACACGTCCGGCAGACCTGTTGGCAGTGACCCATGAGATAATCTCAAGGCCGCAACAGATTAGCCTAGCGTTCAGAACCTAGGGACCAACAGGATATCTAATAATAGCTTGATTGTGTGCATCGTGCTGACTACCCATAACTAAATTGATGTACTGAAACAATTGAAGAATTTGCACGTGACGTCATCCCCTCTAAGACGTTTTGTTATCAAGGATGACGGCATTACGTCAGAATGAGTAATGGAAGCAACTTTCACAATAATAGATTATCATATAACAGCAGCAGCTAATGATAATAGATTAAATTTAGCTTCCGTCGTTAATGGAATGATCCAATAAATCTTGTAAAGAAATTCAGCAAGGTTCGTTCTTAGGACCGCCTCCTTTCCTTTTACATAATCCTCTATATTGTGCATTGTACTGTAACTGCAATGTTCACTCATAGGATCTTGCAGTTCAAAGCTTGATTGTCTCACAAAGACAAAAGCGGTTTTGCATATTGCGTACCTAACTACAAGCGAACACACGACGATATCCAATACATCAAAATTTCCAAACAATACCTCTTTATAAAAGCCTCCTGTTAATATAATAATACTGTAAATACCTATTTACTAAGCCGGAAAACTAAGCACGATCCGAACGTTTGCAGAAAATTCGTGAAAACGGAAGCGGTGATACGTCACTGTTGGAATTTAACTTAAAATGCTAGTAAAACCACTGGGAACACCATTGTTGATATATCACTTCCTGGACAGTCCGACAGTATCCACGAACAGAGGAATTTCTGTCATTAAAAATTAACACAAAGTTTTTCGACGAAATTAACCACTTAAGTTAAGGACGCGAAATTATTTTGCTAAGCGCCACCGGTCTCCTTGCACGAGGAAGGAGGTGGTGGTTTATTTCTTGTTCCGTTTTATTTTTGTTTTAGTTCGATCGGGTGTAGGAACGTGCCCGGGCTACGCCAGCGAGGCGACTGGAAGGATCGACCGTGCCAACCCTAGGGGAGGCTGCGTATTTGCGCGCAGACTCGACTGAAACGTCGACTTCAATCCCTTTTCCGTAAGGTTTAATTTCCATCGAGTCGATTTCCTTCGTCAAACAATTGCCGGTTGATTCGATAACATCATATGGGTCGGGTGATTGGATAAATTTGAGCCGTATGCGCTTCGCATTGGGGTGACTTTAGGTGGAATGTTGATGGCAGAACGAACGTTAGGGATGAGGCGCGGTCGCCGTGAAGTGAATGGGGGTGTAAACGACACAGAGGGCGTTGTTTCCTGCGGAGAGCTGTTACCGGGCGCTTTCATTAAACTCACTTTGTTAGCTCGCCAGTATAGCTGCTAATATGAACACGGCCATCGCTCCGCTGGGCAAATGCAGTCCAGCATTTATGACGAAGCAATTTATAAATGAACCTAACAGTCACTTTAGAAGCTATTGCTAATTGACTTGTTTTGATTTCAATTACTGTGGAAATACCCATTTTTGGCTGAAGCTTATTCTCTTGGAGGTTTTTAGCTGTTTATGCAGTTCTCACGAGTTATCGCTGAACATTATCTGATCATTAAACATGTGTAGGCGTTAGATTGTTGTGCTCGAATCAATAAGCTCAAGGTAATCCAGGTTAGCCTTCTGTTAATTATACTTAGGATAATCAAATCAATTTTTTTTATTTGCGTAACTCCAGGTACATAAGTGGTCTTACATAGAATTGGTAGGTATTTATTAAAATAATTAACAAAGATCCTAGCGATTTTCACAAAAGAGATAAACAATCCGAATGGATTACGTTACACAAAAGGTTCGATTATAAATAATCTACACTAATATTATAAAGAGGAAAACTTTGTTTGTTTGTTTGTTTGTTTGTTTGTTTGTTTAGTTGTAATGGATAGGCTCAAAAACTACTGGACCGATTTTAAAAATTCTTTCACCATTCGAAAGCTACATTACTCACGAGTAACATAGGCTAAATTTTATTTTGGAAAAAAATAGGGTCCTGTAAAATATTTGGGATTTTCATAAGACGTTGAAAAGCGCCATCTATCGTCATTGCTTAAAATCTTCTTGCGCCTGACAAACATTTTTGAGATTCGTAAATATTCATGAAGGCAAAGCTGTCAAACGCCATCTATCGACATCATTAGTAAATTAGTAACTAAATATTACATGTATAGCCTGACCAGGAACATAAAAACCCTGGCATAGAGGCGCGTCAATTGCATTTGATAGTGCAACACTGAGTACAGTCGTACCTGTGTTAAATTAATAGGCTAACTTTATGTATCAGGATTCAGGATTACGGGCTAATTTGATATTTTCATAAATTAACGAAAACATATTATTATAGGTAACCTGGTTTAAATAAATTAAATGAAACCATCAATCGAGTTAGTATGATTTATTTTATTATTCATCAATAATCAAATTCAGAACTTGAATATTCAACTGCAATGTCTGCTCATGAACGCTTCAAACTCGGTACTTCTTTCCCAATTCCATAAAATTCAACACTTAGAAAGTGACAAAATTTTTTAAAATAGGTAGTTGAAACAAACCACAGCTAATTTTCATAGTGGACTGTACTATGCGATAAACATGTCAGTCAATTTGACAACCTTTGTCGGAAACATTATTCAATGAAAATATTGTCCGAACCCTTAGTATTTCTCTTCGACAAACACTTTAACAAATTGTAAACCACTTTTCTTTCACGACCATAAAAAGATTTTAGCAATTTAATTCACAAAATCAATTGCGCACATTTAAAATAAAGTTTGTTTACACTTTGACAGCAATAGACTGACATGCAAGGTGACATGACAATGAAGTTTTCAGTTACTGTTGCCATTAAAAGAAATTAGTACCATTAGTTTTCCGCAACATGGCGAGGGTTTTTATGTTCCTGGTCAGGCTATACTATGAATAGCGCTGTTCGTAAATAATATTGAAATTTAANTATGTATGATAGAGCATCGTCATAATTGGTCTTCAATCTATAAATGATCGAGTACATGCATCAGTCAAGTGTCCAAGTATTAAGTACGCTGGTCACGTAACCACGAAGGAAGCGGTCACCGACGAATACGAATTGCGAAAATATTAAGAACGGAAGACGAAAACTGGACGTCGTGAACTCGTGATGGTAAGAGATATAACTTGTGCAGTTGATGCAGAACCTATCTTTAAAGAATTCGAATTCCTAATGGCATACGAATACGTGAAATAATTCTGTTTATGCCTTTCCTTTTTATGAATTCTTCATATTTTGCTTTGACTACTTAAAGGCAATTAGTGTTGTCCCAGTTGCGAATGGCACGTAATTCACTCAAAATAAATATGGATGATATCGATAAAAAAGGGTATAAAAATATTAACTTTGAACTTTCTTTAAACTTTCTTTTCACGATTTTTCCTGAATCTTTATGCGTGAGACAAAAAGTAGAAATATATTCTACACACGATGTATTTTCGTGCAAGAATTCAGTTCGAATGATTCAGTAGTATGTCTCCAGTTTCCTATCTAAGTTCACGTTGGTGGCGATAACCGTGAACATCCGTACGCTTCCGAATTGAGACGTTTGTCATTATTATGACCGTACGGTGCAGTGGACTCGAAACCAGTGGGGGCATGTTTAAATTCTGGAAGAAATTATTCATGATACGCAAACTTTAAGAACTTGAACGAAGATTATCGGATAAGTAGTTACAGATTTAAGCAACAAGGAATAAACAAAAGGAGGACGTATTGATATCATGATTGCGTTCTACTCGCAGTAAAAAACTGAATAAGTAATATCCTAAGTCCCAAAGATTGGGAGAAATTAAACACGACAAAATAACCACCAACGTAAACTCCGCATAATCGAGTTATCGCCGAAATTATCTTAAAAGTCAAGTTGCCATCTTTAATAATCAAATTTTAGTTCTGAGCTGGGTTATTCAATTATCTTTCCGCCTAACATGTGACCTACCTTCTTATCAAGTATACGAGTCGCCGGTCTATCGAGCAGAATACCCGAAGCCGCATAAAGTTGTATGCACTCGCCCATTTCACGTGAACATTGCACACGTGTAGTATAGTAGTCGTAAAATGGACTTTAAGAATACCGGTGGAAGCTCTAAAATCAAGCTATAATTGTTAAGCTTAATATGCCGATGTATCGATCCGAAGCAAGAATTTCCAGGACGCCCTTAAAGGGAAAGAACTAAGGCTCAATTTCGATACGAATCGAACTTTAAATATTAAAGAGCGAAATTACTTTCATCCAGTCCAGCCAGACACAAAGTGTTTTCAGCAAGGATGATATCATCCATAAAATATACAATTCATAGGATATCTACTTGGAATAGAGGAATTAGTCATATTTTCTGTCAAATCATCCAGAAATAGATTTTTTTCAAATTAACTAAGCCCAACAAGCAAGGCGTGAAAAGCTTAATCAATTCCATGATTTGTTAAAGTCAATCTTAAAGGAGACAGGGATTACACGAAGATTATTGAGGTTCCCTCCCTTCTGATTCTTTCGCCCCGAGTTATTAACGTCAGTGCAGATAACTTCGTTACACATTATTTGACGGGACACTTTCTGAGGGCATTATTTATGAGGTGGGGTCTTGCAGTTTCTAACTTATTCTGTATTCATTGCTTCTAATTTACAGATACAAGCTGCCATGTAACTCATTTTATCGCCGTTTTGTATTCAGTCGGATAAATGCGTCTAGACGTGCTGTTGATTTTGTACAAAACAGTAAATGGTTTGCAAATAGCAATATTAAAGGCCCATAAATGATAAAATACTGAAGTATTATGCCTTAAAAGAGCACGTTAAGACTGACAAGTATTACGTCGCAGACTATTGGTTGGCAAATCAAATGTATCTAGCGCATTGCTTGATTGAATACAAGATGCATATCTATTAGGCCACTCCATTAAATCTACAGGAAGTCCGCGAAATTGTCGGTCAGTTTTAATTCTTGTATTGTATGAACTGATTCATAGACGACATGTTAATTTTAGCAATGGCGATCGGCGATTTAAGTCCATGTTATTCAATAGGTTTGGTCTAAATATTGAAATCAAACTTTTTTTATGCATAAAAAAAGATAAAAAAAAGTAGGTATTTGACCACAATTGCACCTGGTGTTGAGTGGGAGTCTAGGATGGTACATATCTGCCCTGTAAGTGCTTATAACATTTATGAGGATTTCATACTTGAGCGTCATTCTAGAATACGGGCCATAAGGAGAATGCACTAGATTCAATTTCAAGTTTAACATTGACTGAAATTCAATCAAAGCTTGATTCTTCGTTTGAGTATCCTTTCTATCACCTTTTAATCGCTAATACCTTCTGTAGTTTACGAATAAACTTGGCAAATGAATATGAAAAGAGAATAATGTGTATTATGTTATCGATCCTGTCATTAGCACCCCATTCGATATATGGGAACCGTTTGTCGCGGCCTCGTGGCATCGACACGTGAAACAAATCACAATGGGGTCTGAGCAGGAGAGCTAGCACGTGACTCCGGGGATACGGCAAAAGGGTCACGCGTATTTGTTTTATCTTTGGGGAAAATATGACAGCTGAAAGGTCGAATGTTGGGAAAATAATTGAAAATGAAAACAAAAATAAACATTAATAGACAAAACAACCATAAAAATGAGTAAGGCCCAGAACAGACGGTGAAACGCAACTGCAACTTTCTGATAATTTTGATGAATGAAACTGAAAGTTTCAAACTGGTCGCGTCATGTGTGGTTTCTCAACGGACGCTATGGCAGAAACTTAGATGCAACTCAAAGTAACTAGCAGTTGCAGTTTCGTTGCAGTTGCGTTTCACCGTCTGTTCTGGGCCTTAGAGCTAAATTGCGAAAAAGGGTTTACATAGATAAATGAACTTGCGATTCTTGTAACTCAATGGAATTCCATGTCACAAGTTATTTATGACTATACG